TGGGCTGAGACAGCCTAGAGAAGGGATAAAGCACACCCCCGGATGTGTCTGTGAGAGGGTTTCCAGAAACAAATAGATGACAAGAGCTGTGATCTGCCCATCCTTTCCACTGGCCAGTGTGCCCAGCTCCATTCTCCCACAACGCCTCCATAGCTGAGCCATAATAAATCCTTCCTTTGTTTCTGGTTCAGTGATGAGGAAGGAGGAGGACACCTGACTTAAAAGTCACCAAAGCTCCCACAGGAACCGCAGAACCCAACCAACCCCAGGACCATGCCTCCTGGCACCTCACTGATGAACTAGCCTGACTCCACTTTGCCATCAGTAGCCATCTTGTTACAAGGTCAAAATCAACTGTCTACTACTGTAAACATTTGAGCATGCCTTGACCCATTCCTGGAACTTGACAAGTTCCACGTCCTATACCCCAGCCTCCACCCTCATAAGATGTTCTGCCAAGTTCCTACATAACCAAAATTCCTTTGGAAACCCTTGCAGTTCAAATGTCTCCTGGGTTTGGGGCTGTCTACTCAAACCCGGCACGTAGGGAGAAGCAATCGCTGGACTGGCTCTATTATGCACATATAATAAAGCTTGCTTAATTGGACTGAGAAACACATGGGTAGATGGTCTTGAACACTCGGGCCACTCCCTGGTGCTCCAGAAGCCTGGGTTTTCTCTATTCCTGAACCAGCCAGGAGCTGAGCCTCCACCCTCAGGGCCTTTGTACTGTTTCCTCTCCCTGAGATGCCCTCCCTTCCTTTCTCTTCTCTCAGCTAGTGACCTGGGATTCACCATTCGCCATTTTCTCTCAGTCTCACTTTCCTTGCTCCCCCACCCACTACCCCAGTGTGGTCAGGTGCCTCGGCCTACACCTCAGTCATTCCCTGGGTTGTGCCTGCTCTGTTTACTGCTGAGGACCCACTCTGCCTCACACTGTATCTGAGCGTAGGTCGTTGATAAATTTATATCATCTCCAATCCCAGAAATCTGTTTCTTTTTTGGTAAAATGGAAATAATACTAGTACTTACTTGTTAGTTAGCTTTGTGTTACCACAACCAAATAAGCGAGGCAGTTAACTTAAGAGAAAAGGTTTAAACCGGACTTGGCAGTACACACCTTTGACCCCAGCACTTGGCAGGTGGAGGAGGCCCTGCAGTTCAAGGTCAGCCTGGGTTACTGGGTTTCAGAGAAAGGGGTGGGATGGATAGGTTTGGGAGGTTCCGTGTACAAAATCAAGTTGCCTATGGGCTTGTCCGCTGGTGATGACAGCACATCAGGACAGAAGCATCTCAAAGCACTGCAGAGGAGAAAGAGGACAGGAAGGTCTCGTGATCCCTTTTGAGACCGTTTACCCAATAACGTAAGAATTGCCTATTAGACCTCCCCACTTGAAAGTCCACTGCCTCCAAGATCCCACTGCCCTGGGCGAGAGCTTTTAACTGAATGTCTGAAGCACACACACCACCTAGCAGAGTCACTCTAAGGATTCGGGAAATAAAGCCTTCGAGTGGCTCAAGCCGCTGTCTGGCACCTGCCAACTGTAGCACTACAAGGAACAGCTGCTTCAAATTATATGCTAAACAGGCTGCATTTCAGCATTTCCCACAGGTCCCCTTCGAATTTCACACAGTCGCATTCTGATGCCACCAGTCTGTCTTTCTATCCAGTGGGCAGATTCCAAGTGCCTTTCTTTCCCTGTGCACTGATGGCAGGTTTCAAGGCCTACAGCTGGCTGAGGGTTGACCCCAGATGCTGGCAAGTCTCCAAGCCAATAGACCCTGGAGAGCCAGTGGGATGTCCTTATCTCGGTCAACTCTAATAGCAATATTCTGTACAAGAGCCTTCTAAATGTGGAGCTCTGCAGAAGCTGCCTCAGTGTTAGGTGAACTGAGTTCTACTGCCTCCCCATGGCCGCAGGGTAGAACCCACATTTCTGAACTTGAAACCAAACATAATAAACCTTCTATTTGCGCTGCAGCTGCTGTGAGCCATTTTCTCATTTAACTGCTGTTCTTTGAATTGAGTTACATGTGTTAGAAATGCTAGAGAAGTAGGGCGATGGTGGCACACTCCTTTAATCCCAGCATTCGGGAGGCAGAGGAAGTTTGATCTCTGTGAGTTCAAGGCCAGCTTGTTCTACAGAGTGAGTTCCAGGACAGCCAAGGCTATGGAGAGAAACCCTGTCTCAAAAACAAAAACAAACAAAAGACAGAAAAAAAATCCACTATATTTACAAAAAACTACTGTATTTACAAAGTTTATTGTTATCTCATTAAAGTATTCAATAAAAAATAGATATGGGTAGATAGTAAATCAGCACATGTATTATTCTGTAATGTATATTGCATGTGTGAACTTTTGCCTCATCTCATACGTTTGGCATGTTTTTTTTTTTTGTTCTGGTTTTTAAAAGACTTGTTCATGTTGTTGGTATGTGTGTGTGCCTGCCACATGCATGCAGGCCCCCTTCTCTGTGTTTTTGTTTGTTTGTTTTCTTTTCTTTTAGGCACTACAAGATTTCATGTAGCCTAGGCTCACTTCCAACTTGCTGGGATGAGCCTGGGCCTTCGGCCTCCACCTCCCAACTACTAGGATCACAGACATAAGCCACACACTCCATGAGACTTGTTTTTTTCGAGTTTCTGTGTATAGTCTGGCTGTCTTGGAACTTGCTTTGTAAACTGGGCTGGACTCACAAGTGCCTCTGTCTCCCAAGTGCTGGGATTAAAAGTGTGTACCACCACAACCAGCTTGTCATTTTTTCTATAACTAGCTACTTAATTCACCTGACTTTTGTTTCATGGTTCTGTCCCTTTGTCATCTGGCTAAGGCTCCTCTTTCAGACTACATCTTATTTGGTTCCTCTTTCCTCTGGCAAAATCTAGGTTCTCAAGGTTACCCTCAATTCTTTAAAGAAAACATGAGGGGCTGGGGCTGAGACACCTTAAGAGGGTAAAAGCTTTCTGTACAAGCCTGTGTTCGATTGCTGGAACCCCTAGGAAGGTACAGAGAACCAAAAGTTGTCCTCTGCCTTCTACACACGTGCTGGGGCAAGTGTGTCCACCTATGCATCATACACATACTCACACATTAACTAGTTTCTAAAACTGTGTGCTTATGAGCAAAATGCCACAACAGGAAGTGGAGAATTTCGACAGAGCCTGGTGGCAGGAGGCCCATTCAGGGGCCCGAGGAAAGGGGGCAATGCAGAAGAGGGAACAAAGCAACTGGTGGTTGTTACTGTAGCCTGGGAGCATGCCCCATTTCACCACCAGCCTCGACACAGCAGAGGAGGCAAGAAGGGCGGAGTGTTAGCTTAGGGCTACCGTGCTTGCCTACAACGTGGGAGTCAGAGAGGAGAGACGAGGGCATGGAGTTGATTAAAGGGCAGTGAGAAAGTAGATGAGACTGGCAACTGGCTCGGCACGTGCCCCGTGTGCATAGATGGGCACAGACAAGACAGGAATTCCTTTCTCTGTCTGAACAGCAGCAGAAGCCTGTATCCCTGGAGAAGAATCATCCGGCAAAGCAAGCATGCTCTTGGGAGATTTGATAAGGCCTCAAGGCACGTCAGTGATGGAAGCTAGCCACAGAGCCCGTATGTCTCAAAGTCAAGGCAATGGCTACCTTTTGATGCTTACATTAATAAAACTGAAGGAAGAACGCGAAGGGGTTGAGAAGAGGAAAAAAGAAATCATTTGGAAAATTCTCTGAAGCCAGCTCCAGGGACCTGGATGTGTGATGAATTGTTCATCTGCAAGTGCCTGTTAAAATGACAGTCATACAGAAGTAACTTGATTGCCAGAGTAGCAATCCTCCAGGTTCTGCATGCCACCTCAATTCTACCAAGACTTGTCATAGCTGGCAGTGCTTGCTTGGCAGGCAGAAAGAATCACGTTGGATTTCCAATACCACACAAACCAGATGGGGTGGTGCATGCTTTTAACCCCAGCAATCTAGAGGCAGAGGCAGGAGGATCAGAAGTTTTAGGTCATCCTTGGCTATGTGAGACTGAATCCATCCTGGACTATGGTGACCTTGTCTCAAAAAGTAAACTAAAGCCCTATAGTGGAGAGGGAGTGCAAAAAGAAGTTATGTGACTTAAGGTCGTAGTCAGGCAAAGACAAGACTTAAAGTCAGACCTCTAGGCATATAAACTGATGTAGGCCCCATCCAGTGGGGGAAGCTAGTTCCCAAACAGGCCTTCCATAGCATATACCCACTGTCAGTTGACTGTAGAGCAGCCCTGGCACACACGCAGGAAACAGTCAGCTTGTAGAATCATGGGAGTCATGCTGACTCATGCTTACACCACAGCCCCACTGTCCAGCTCAGCCCTTAAGACAAGGGCCTGCTCATTTTTTCAATGGACACCTGCCAGCTATCCACTGTGGTACAAGGACTGTGCTAAGAACTCAAGGGCAAGAGTTCAGGATTTGTGCAATAAGACACTGATAGGCTGAAGTGGGGGAGACGGGAACAGCCCCCCGATGACTGTCTAACACAGATGAAAAGTGGAAGAACTCAGTAAGTCTGTTGTGAAGGGTCTAACCTTGAAGGGCTGCTGTAAGGGAGAAAGGCTTCTGAGCTGGGGGAGTTATTGGGGGGAGTGTGATGGAGGAGTAGAAGACAGAGAGGAAGAAATGAGTGTAGGAGGAAGAAAAGATGAGGAGGAGAAAGGGTAGTCATGGTCACTGTCAGGCGGCTAAGCAGACAGAGAGCAGCCCATCCCACTGTAAGCTGCACTGGGCAAGGCACCACAGGGTTGCCGTGGGCGTGCTTCCACGCTGGATAGGGAAAGCATTTGGCATGGTTCGTGTTGAGGACACCTAGTCTTGGCCACACAAGAAAGGATCAGAGCTCCACAGCTACTTGAGTCTTCTTGGGATACACCTAGTCTTTCTGGCCTTTCAGAGAACCAGTGGGTAGTAAGAGACACAGGTGCTTGTCAGGGGCTGGAGGCAGAGAACACACAGACCACAGCAATGTTGCTCTAGCAGCATTTTTATTTACAAACAGCAATTTCCATTGCATCTTTACCATAAAAAAAGCCATTTACAAGCAAGAAACAAGAATTCAGAATGAAATTAAGCAGCACTGAAATATTCATGTCACAAACCTAAAGCAAAATGAATACAAGTAAAATATCATTTGAATAAATAGTCTTCAATTCATGCTACAAAATAACCCTCAATGGTAAGTTACAAGTTGATACAGCATCCGCTTAGCTAGCTTCATTTACTTCACGTGGTGATGAAGTGTGGCATTGTGAGGTTACCAGTTTATATTGCAAGATAATGACACCATGTGAAGTCATTCAAACTGCTCAGCCATTTGTAACGGAAGATTATGCTAGCCCTACTGCGAAAGTGGTACGGGGTGGTTTCACATTAGGAAAACGGTCGGTCGTTCTCAGGGGAGGCAGGTGAGTTTACCTCTTGCTCTAGTCAGGGCAGCAGCCTGGAGCTTGGTCTGCAAGTCCCAAGGCCACATTCACAGCATTCTTGTCACTGAAGGGCTGTGAGAGGTCTGTGTGCTCAATCTGCCACTCAGAGCAGCGAGCGAGGCTTACTCTGAGCTAATCAGGAGCAGCAATAGCCCTGTCTGTGCCAGACCCAGGGGGCACCTGGAGTTGGCAAGCCCTGGCAGGAACAGTGGGAACTCTGGCACTTACTGAAGACGGCGTGTATGACGACCATTACGAATCTGGAACAAAATGAATGACTTCTCTGAACTTACAGTTCAGCTGCACTGAGTACATGAAATCTATGATGTAAGAACTAGATAGTCTCGTATAAAGAGTTTACATATTCCCCAATACTTTCATATATAAAATTTAATAAATAACCCTGACCAGGCTAGAAGCACCATTCAAGGGGCATGAGCCCTTGGAAAATAGTTTAGATGTTGCATATTTGAGTCCCTTTCAGTGGAGGCTTCACAGGAAACCATTATAGAATCTAACAACAACAGTGACAACAAAAGCATCACAGTAACAAGTGGAAAGCTTAAAATAAAACAGCACCCTAAGGTAGAGCTCATTCACACGGACATTTCCCCTAGCCCTTGCTTTGTGTTCCCGCAGATTCTCTCCAGAACCAAGGTTGTTAAAAATTAAAACCACACACAGAAAATATGCAGGCCTATGGTCTGGGCTAAGGGTAAAATAAAGAGGTGGTTATACTTGCTGTTATTAAAAAAGACATACACTCATGCTCTGGAGATTTAAAAATTACCAATTTAGTTCTACAGTATATTCTGCTTAACAGTGAACTGACAGTATCCTTTCTGCTGCTTAAAAAAACAAACAAATAAACATCACACACACACACACACACACACACACACACACACACACACACACACACCCCAACAACAAAAACTGCCAAAGCAGAGCCAATTGATTGGGAGGCTTTTCCACTGACCGGGAAGATGAACTCATCTTTTAACTGTATTTACAAATGGTTTCTAAAGGTATTTACAGCTTTAGTAGAAACAAGAGGGCAGAGGACTGATGAGAAGAAACATAAGGATTGAAAACCACAAATGTTAGCAAAAGTATAAAACGTCTTCACAGTTTGTGCAATGGGGTAAATGTCATAGGGAAGGAAGGGCGCTGTGGCTGTCTTCACATTGTCTAAGGTGGAAAGGTAGCTGAGAAGAGACTCACTCACGCACAGGCCTGTATGGAAGCAGGACATAATTCACTGTGAAAGATGTCTTCACATACTGTTTATCTTAGTGGACTTGTGCATCTGCTATACGGAGAGACCTAACCTACAACTGTACAGGGACAGGTTTGCTGTCCGCAAGGAGTTACACAGTGAGCTTCAGGGAGAGAGGCCTGCTCGGCGGCCATGCTGGCTCTCCTGGCACATCCTCATGTGGCTAGGCACAATTAATTGCTGCGGCCCTGTCTGCATGGAAGGCCCTTGGCAGCCATGCCCTTTGGCAGGCACCTAGGGTGACTGTGCAGACAAGCTATGCAACGCTGTGCTGGCCTGGACGCTGTCTCCCTCAAAGCCCCGTGAACTTTACAGTACTGTGTTATGGCTTGAGAATTCATTCTTAACACTGCTAGCAGTGGAGAGGGTAAAGTATTAGCAACATGAATGGGAGCAAGCGCAACTTGCAAAATGTGGAATCATGATCATTTATAACTCAAATTGGTTTTCTGCCCCTAACAGTCCCATTACAATGTTTGAACCTGAACTGTACAATCAAAGCAATGTATATTTTTGTCAAAGACAATTTTGGATAAGTCACTCTTTGGTAAACTCAAACCAGCTAAACAAGTTGACAAACACAAGAACTCCGTGTACGAAAGTTCCAACAGACAGTGACAAGAGCCAGGACATGGACGCGCTGCCCGAGTGCACTCCCCTCGCCACAGGTGCTCTGGAAGCGCCTCAGAAGGCCACAGGCCTAACTAAGTGAAAAGGAGGCTCCTTCCATGAGCTCCACGTCTCACGTCCTTCGATTTGGGGCCTTTCTTGTCACAAACTTAATTGATATCACAACACACAAAAAAAATTTTTTTGCATTTAATTCTAAATAAACAAACAAACAAACAAAAATCAAAACCAAAAACATTTGTGTAAGGAAAATGAAAAATCACAGACATTTACCTGAAACCTCAGAACACACTTAAGTAGGTAAACATTTGGGGCCCAGCCTCTCCTTGAGGCCTTCAGCTTTCTCGGCTGAACAAATGCTTCAGGGAGAGAACAAACCCCGACTTAGGCAGTTTGACGAGGAAAAGGCATACCGTATACCCGATTAGCAAGAGCCGCTCCAGGAGGGAGCAGCGGGATTAGTCTTCAACAGGAGTTAACACTGAGGTGAGGCGAGCAATTCACATGAGCAGATCCTGTGTGCTAAGGAGGTGCTACTGAGCCGCCACTGGGGCTGCTACACACAAGGGCTGGAATAAAACTTAAGGAAAAACAAAAACAACAAAAATCAAAAACCTCCCCCAAAAACTGTTATTCTTGGTATTTTAACAGCCAAAAAAGCATGGCAAACCAGCAAACATCTTTTCCGTATTCTTTAGCTTGTAGCCTTTGAGGGTGGTCCTTAGCTTCTGAGTTTCTGTTTATTTGTTAGAGTCCAGGTTCTCAGGCAGAGCAGAGCACAGCTGCAAGACCGGCCCCTCAGCTGCTTCCTAAACTGCCCTTTGCCTGAATCCACAGAACCAGAGCTATCTGTGAAGCCTGCTGGTGTATATGGACCTAACAGCAGAGAAGCACTGACCAGACACAACTCAGACAGTAACCTGTTTGCCAGCACATGCTTTTGAGGTTTTTTTTTCAAGCTGTGAGCTTGAGAGGAAAGTAACTACGTCATTACTACTGGTAGGTTTCACATTTTCTAGACGGATACTGACCTAAAAGATATTTAACATAAAAATAGCACCACATGACCAAAAATGGTGAGACATACACAGATTTGGTGACACACAGAGGATCTTGGAGGGTTTTGACTTTTTTCTTCAAGCAGGAAACACTGAGTGGGGAGCCACTGAGGCTCTGTTAGCACACACAATACTAAGATAGATATATTGCTTGCAATTCCCATAGAGTATAGCTTTACAAAAAGTACAAATTCCAAGTTCTGCAGTTTCCCTGGGAACTGCATAGAAAAAGTTGTTGTGCACCTGAACTGGCTGTTTGAGGAGAGAGAGAAAAACCCAAAAGAAAACAAAACAACAGAACTACAACACTGCTTGGAGAATTTTGTAGACAAGCGCTACAAATTCCTGTCCTTTAGTGAGAGTACTAACTCCCGACGGAGCGACTGGATTTAGTTACCTGGTATGTATGCTTCTACAGTACGGAATGAAGGTAGATTTGTAGGCCAGTAAAAACCTTGAAAACCACTGCTCCTTTGGGGTTGGCTAATATAACACTACATTGTATAGAAAGGTCAGCACCACAGGTTGTCCAGTGTACCTGGACAACAAACAAAAATTCCAAAATGGTTTCCCACTACAGTTGGAGGAATTTTATGGCATTTGGTTTATGTGTTTGTTATGAAACAGAGCTACGAACACTGTGATTTGCTTTGCTTGCATTTGGACACCATGATTACTATATATCAAAATCTATTGACATTCTTCTGTAAGGGAAACGAAGGGTTAAAACTAACATAGTAGGTGGGGCTGAAACAGAGTCTGAGCTCTGTTCACATTGTATTAAATTATATATTCCTCTTACATTCACCTCAACCAGAATAAACTCAAATTTGAGAATGTATATATACTATATATATAATAACCACTTTATTATATATATATATAAATTGTCTAACTACCCCCTAAAAGTAATTTTAAATTAGAAAAGGTTACCCATTTGTACCAGCTGACGGCATCCTAGCCTCTCCATGAAAACACACTGGGGCTAGCACCCATAGAGAGCGCCTGCCTCTTTTGGCAGAGAACGTAGGGTCAACCAGTTGGCATAGTTGAATCACTGGCAGAGTTGGGAGAAACGTTCAGCCAAAGAGGAATACTGTCAGCCTGTGTTTTCCCTGGATATGCTGCCCTTCATGCTTTGAGCTCCTTGGAGAAGGGAAGGGGATGGGAGGGGAGGGTAAACACAAGAAGTACCCCACCCAGAACCTTCAGAGAAACTAGCAAGAAACCGGGAGGAACCGGGAGATTTCCAGATGGTGGGGAAAAGCAAAGATTACAACAAAGCAAATCACAACGATGCATTGATTGATGTGCTTTGTTCAGGTGCTCCTTCTCTGTCACCTTAGTCAGGTGCATCAGATACCGTGTGGATTTCCATGCGGGAATCTAGTGCCATCTCTGAGGCTGCCGCATCACTTTCGAGTTTCTGTTCCATGTACACATCTGTTCTTTCGGGGGACTCCATGCGACTCCTGACCTCGGTGACACCCGGGTGGTTTTTTCTCAGGTGCTGGTTGAGGGTGCCCTGGAATGGAAAGCACTTGCCACAGACCTCGCAGCGGAATGGTTTGTCGTCAGTGTGGCCCCGGATGTGGTACTCCAGCTGGTCCTTGCGTGTGTACTTCTTCCCACAGAACTTGCACACAAAGGGAGTGATGCCCATATGCAGCCGCATGTGCCTGTCGAGGCTTCCCTTCTGGTTAAAGGACTTCCCACAGTAAATACAGATCAACCGCTCGTTGTATGGGTACCAGTAGCCTCTGGCACTCCTCTCCCGGGGACTGCTCTCATAACCAGGATTGTTCATCATGGCTTCACTGTCAGAGCCTGGCACCACACCCTGCAGGTCACTGTGCAGGTGAACAGACAGAGCCCGCTTCTGGCGGGCCCCGCGGCCTCGGAAGCAGCTCAGCATGGACCTAGATGGGCTGGAATTGCTCTGACCTCCAAAAGCTTCTGGCACACTGGAAGGTTGTGAGGTTGCCTGGGAGTAGGGGTACGCATGCTGGAGCACAGAGCCATAGGCGCCTACATTCACAGCCACAACTTGTTCCCCATCCACCATCTCCGTGTGGTAGCCGTCGTCTCCCAGGGAGGAGCTGTCAGAACAGCTGGGCCGGTCAGACTTCTCCATCTTCACTTTCACCTCTGTGATCTGGCTCTCCCTCACCAACAAGTCCCCTTGCTCGTGGTCCCCTTCAATCTGAATCTCATACTCAGACACACTCCCACTGCTTCCCCGATCTGAGTGCCCCTCTTCCTGTAAGCGGCTCCGAAGGGCTTTGCTGGGGGTTGTCTCCATCCGGAGATCACTGCTGACTGGAGGCGGCCGTACCTGAGGGCAATATGGAGGGGAGATCTCAACAGGATTGGCGAAGAAGCTGCCATCTTTCACCCCGTTCTGGCTCTCAGAATTCTCTTCAGCACCAATGGTGACAGAGTCAACATCTCCCACGCTGATCTTTGAGTGGATGCTCTCCAGGATCTGCGTGCACTTGTCAATGACACACTGCATCTGAAGAAAGCTGGCTGCCGTCAGAAAACTGACAACATCCTTCAGCTGCAAGGACATCCTTCCAGTGTAACAGAAGGAGAGCAACTGCTCAAACACGCTGGGGTTCTTAATCACAGATATCGACAAGCCACTCATAGTGCTCAGTGCTGAATGGTCCCGGAAATACGGGGAGCTGGCTGCAAGGACGGCCTTGTGAGCTCGGAACGGCTGACCCTGAATGTGGACGATGATGTCGCATAGCTTCCCTTGCAGGCGGAGCTCGTTTAGTTGGCTCAGAACAGTGCTGCTGTGCTCAGGCACATCAAACTGAATGAAACTGCTGCTGTCCATTTCTCCCGACACCAGGCGTAATCTGCAGAGACAAAGAGCATCCGTAATTCACCAGGGCTCCTCAGCAAGAGCAAGCAATGAAAACAGGAGCTCACAGCAACTCCGAAGCTAGTATTCCTAAGGTCTGACTGAACATTCTTCCTCTTGCTTAGTTTTTAATCTTCCATCTCTCCATTAATTCACCTAAAGCCAAATAAGTGAATGATCAATTAGCCCACTGTCATTCTTACTTAACACACAACTCAATCAAAAGTAAAACACTGCATGCAAGAGCTGGAGAGATGGCTCCTGGTTAAGAGCACTGTCCGCTCTTCCAAAGGACCTGGGTTCAATTCCCAGCACCCACATGGCAGCTCACAACTGTCTGTAACACCGATTTCACAATTCTGGGGGATCTGACACCTTCACATTAATGCACATAAAATTATTTTCAAAAAAATTACTAAAAAAAAAAAAAAACACTGCATGTATAAGAAAGCTGGCTCAGCTGAAGGAAAGTAGAGTTTTTCAAGAAAAATTCCCTTTCACCTACTACCTGAGGAACTCCACAAAAATGTTCCAATTCCTGTACAGACTATCCTGCCTTGTATATTTCTGTATGTACATGTTTATGTACACACCACACGGGCTGGAACATGTATGAGTATGCCCATAGGGGCCAGAGGTCTTATTTTTTGAGAGTAGTCTCTCACTGAGCCCTAGCTCACCAACTGGCAAGTCTTGCTGATCAGCATGCCCCAAATGCCCATCTGTCTCCTGCCCAGGGCACTGGGACAGCAGGCACATGTCTCCCCTGTACAATGTGCACACAGTGTCCTCAGAGGCCAGGACTGAATGCTGGATCCACTGGGACTGCGGTTGCAGATGGTTGTAAGCCACCATGTGAGGGCTGGGGATCAAACCTGAGTCCTTAGGAAGAGCAGCCAGTGCTCTTAGCCACCTGGCCATTGCTCCAGCTCTCAAGCTGTTAGAGGACAGCTTTTCTAATTGCTGTCCTCTAACCTCAAGTACACTGCAAACATGCAAACACACACACAAACAAATAGCATACAGCTGCTGAGGTAAACACAAGACTAGATCAAACAATTCTATTTTTGTTTTTAAAATGACCAATAAATTTTGCTTTTTGAGACAGGGCCTCACCCCATAGACCAGTCAGTCTGGCCTCATACTCTGGTTTTCCTGAATGCTCGCCAACCATCAGAAAGTGAAATACTCCTTACCAAGAATCAAGAGCATGAAGGGCATGAGAGAAAGTCTGCCCTTGTTTCTAACTTACTTGAGCACTAACTCTCAAACCAGACAGACAGACTAGTGACAAAGCAAAGGCAGTAAAATGTTAACAGCAGTACACAGCAGTCAGTGGCTACTGTAAAAACCTGTTGGACCAGGCAGTAGTGCCATACACTCTTCATTGCAGCCCTCAGGAGGCAGCAGCAGCGGCAGCAACAGAGGCAGAGGCAGGAGGATCTCTGAGTTCGAGGACAGCCTGGTCTACATAGTGAGTTGGAGGATAACCTGTTATACAAAGAAAAACCCTATCTCAAAAACCAAGAAGCCGGGCATGGTGGTGCATGCCTGTAATCCCAGCACTCTGGGAGGCTGAGGTAGTCAGATCTCTGTGAGTTTGATGCCAGCCTGGTCTACAAAGTGAATCCAGGACAACCAAGCCTACACAAAGAAACCCTGTCTCAAATAAACCAAAATCAAAACCAAACCAAACCAACCAAACAAAAAACCCAAAACCAAGCCAAACAAACAAACAAACAAACAAACAAACCTATCAATTTTTCTGCAGCTTTGAAGTTTTTCACAATAAAACATTGAGGCTTAGAAAACATCATCTACAACAAAAAATAGTACAAGGGAAGTCAGCGCCTTAACAACTTTATCTTAAGGGAATAGTGAAAATATGTGACTCAAGCTGGGCACAGTGGCACACACCTGGTCTACAAAGTCCAGGACAGCAGGGCCATTACAGAGAAACCCTGTCTCAGAACTGGACCCCCTCCACGTGCGTGTGTGCGTGCACACACACATAATAAATAAAAAAAGAAACCACACAAATAAAAGGAAGAAGAAAAGAAAAAGAAGTGAGCCAGGCATCAAAACACATGACTGTAATCCCGGTACTCTAGGCAGGTAGATCTCTGTGAGTTCAAGGCCAGCACGGCCTACCAAGTGATTCAAGACAGCCAAGTCTACACAGAGAAACCCTGTCTCAAAAAACCGGAAAAAAAAAAAAAAAGAAAGAAGGAAGAAGTAACTCAACCCAGAAGGCTAGAAAAACAAAGAAAAACAGAAACAAAAAACAATTCACTAGCATATAAGCACTGAGAAAAGGTAAGACTGTAAGGTAAGTCTAAATCTAAGACTCTTGAAGGAAAGGATCAATCAGTTTGACTGGATCACATCAGAATTTTCAATCTTGTCAGAATACGAGTTAAACATTTTAGTCAAGAAGAATGTTGTGCTTCTATTTATCCTAGACTTCTGACTGAAACCAATTTGAAATCTGCATGAAATGGACATATTTTTAGGATAACATAAATTGGCAGAACTAAATGAAAAAGACACAGAAGTGCCAAGGCACAAATGATCTCCAGGCCGTTTACTGTTTTAGCCGCATCTGCGTCTCAATGCATCTGGTGTAAACCTGACACCAGAGGACAACACAGAGCAGAAAGAGGTCTGCTTCATCTACGGGGCTGTGAGACCCTCATGCAAACGCCAGGACTGAGGAACAGCTGCTAAAATGATCTGTGGCATCACAAAGTCAAAGGAGAAAACTGCGTGGCCACATCAACACCTCACCAAAAATTCATGTCAGAAGTAAATACCCCTTCAGAGTAAGAAAACACAGTAACCAGCAACTACTGTGAAGCAAAGACATTAGCCTTAAGAAAGAATTGTTGTCTCTTCCCAAAACTATGCAACAGAACTTGTCTAGCCCCAACACCCTTACCTCCTAGGGATTAAAGACATTAGCGTAATGACCCATCTGAAAGGGTCCTGCAGCAAGCGTTCTGTTTAACTCAGCAGTTTGCAAACTCATTTAACTGTGGAACTCTCTGCTCAAGGTACGACATTAGTATTCCAAAGAATTAGTGTTCTCTAAGCACATTCTAGAAATACTTCATTTAAAGGCATTCCCATGGGGCTTATAAAATAGACACAGCTTTTAACCATCACCTTCTCTCTCTCTTTCTCTCTTTTTTTTTTTTTTGGTAGTTTTTAGTTGAATAAAACATACATAGCCCTGGCTGTCCTGGAACTCATTATGTAGACCAGGGGCCCTTGAACCCACAGACATCTATCTGCCTCTGCCTGAGTTCTGGGATTAAAGGTGTGAGGGTGTGCCCACTACACCTGGCTTTACCATCACATTCTTCACATTGTTGTATCTGAAATCCTGAGGCAAAGCAACAAGAAAAAAAATGAAGGCGCACAGCCATTCAAGAAAAGACAGAATTAATGTTATATGCAGATATTATTTAAACAGAAAACACAAGTGATGAGGATCTAAGAAGCGGGATTACAAGAGTGCGCCATAACGCCGGCTCCTATCCACTATCTTAATAAGGAATTTTTATATGGATAAATGAAGAAACATATCTTGGCTGTGAGACTTAATGCTATAGAGATAAATGCTGTCTAAAATAAACTTATAAATATAATGTAGGCCAATGATTTTTTTTAAATTAAGTTTCTTAAAAAAAATGATTTAAGGGCTGGAGAGACGGTTCAGCAGTTAAGAACACTGTCTGCTCTCCCAGGGATCCTGAGTTCAATTCCAAGCACCCACATGGTGACTCACTACCATTTATACCCTCTACTGCCCTCTTCTGGCATGCAGGTGCACATGCAGATAGAGCACTCATACATAAATAAAATCTTTTTAAAAAATGATTTAAAAATGTATCTATTCTAGAACATTGCATGTGTTCAGTGTTTTCTAGTAGTTACCAACCCTCCAACCAAGCCTCCCCCATAGCCCAGTGCTGGACACAGAAACCAGAGCCTCAAGCACAGCTAAGAAAGGCTTCATTGCTGTACAGCACCCTAACCCACCCAGTCACTATGTTTATGAAGTAAAGTAATAATAATAAATTTAACCCAACAGAGCAAACATTATCATGAAGCATTTATTTTAAATTCCTCACCATTTCACACCAAATCTTGGTTACATGTCTTAAAAAAACAAAAAAGAAAAATCTATCCAGATATAATGTACAACTGGGTTCTAACTCACTGACAAGTCTAACCATGTGCCAAGCACCTGCATGAGGAGTTATACTCCTCTGACCATAAATCCTGGTCATCTTCAGGGTGAGGGTGCGGTCACAGAAGGCCACCGGGGCAATCACTACTTTAAGATCAAAAGGATGCAGAAAGGTTCCGGAGATCTGTGAGGGCGTGGAAGTCCTGCAGGGAAACTATCTCCACAGAAAGAATCACATGTGTTAAGAGAGACTGCCGGAGTCCAGAAGGAAGGACATTCTGGAAGCGCTTCTTCAGCAGGGACAGGACTAAAGGGAAAAGCAGGGGCCACAGAAGCTGCTGATGGCAGGAGATCACACCAAGATGGCTTCACGAGCCATTTCAAGTATGGGGAAAGGGACAAAGAGAGGTTGCTTGGGGAACTTGATAAACTTCATAGCTACACCCTTCCTGTAGAGCACTCCCCGAAGAGAAGGCACTGGGTGTACTACTAATAGTTTTACTTATACCTTAAAAATGCTTACAAAAAATGAGCAGGAAACAAATTATGAGAAGGATTTACAAAATACATGAAGAGAAGTATGAAACTCACAGATAATAAAGCCAAATATCATAACTGCAAACTCCACAAATATGAGCAGATGCTTTTAAAAACAAAGAATAAAAATAGACTTTTAGACAGAGAGAAAATAGTCATTTTATCAGTAAACAAACAATATTTAACAAGAGATGAAATTCTTTCTCCATTTGGCAAGACTTACAAAAATAAACCTGTCACCTAAGAAAAGGTCACACATCACC